TCTGCCGCAGGTGCCAGGAGGGCACAGACTCAGTGTGTAATGGTGGCGGGGTCCTGGGTTGCCTGTTCTGCCCCCAGGAAGTAGGTGGGAAATACCTGGCTCTCTCCATGAGTTTCAGCTGGGAACAGTGGTGGTGGAAGTAAAACGCAGACTCAAACCGCAGTACCAGCAGCTCTTGGAGCACTCGTTCACTCGGTGCAGGGTGCATGCAGGAAGAGGCCACAGGTGCTACCCCCAGCCAGAGAAGTCGCTGGGGCTTGAACCTCACATTTCTAATGAGCACATGGCTTATCACTAACAGAAACTGATTTCTTACTTTTTAGGAGATCCTAGATTCAATAATGAACGTAGGAAGTAAGAAATATCTTCTTGGGTCTGAGCTGCTATGGTACACATTACATATTTGCATCAGTTTCAGCAGCTTTAAAAATATAGGTACTATTAAACTGAATTATTGAGGGAGAGAACAAAGTAATACACTCTACAGCAGTGGTTTTTATATATATCCTCTGTGAGTGAGACAGAACTAGGACATAGCACACAGAGATTTACAATATAATGAATAATAAGTTGTTTCTATTTAATGTTATGGTATTGCTATCACTTGGACTAATAAAGGACAATTTAAAACAAGCTGACAATGAAGAACTGGCATTTCCTTATAACATACATACAGGAGTGAAATACAAACATCTTGTTTAATATTCTGTACTTTTAAGTCTCTGTTTGCATATATTAGCTTGAAGATTCAGGAATGAAAAGAACATTAAAGTGTTACTTGAAGAACTATCTTAAGTGACCTGTTAATGAGAAACAGTCAAAATAAGGCAATAACTATCAGTCTACCTTCTACCTTCCTTGTGTGCTTCATTAGTAAAATGGAGAAATGTTTTAAAATATATAGTTATCCATTTCTTAACTGCCTCAAATTAGAAATTGTAATGCCATGGGTCTCAAAGCCTGGCTCTTTATGTTTTATTATTTTTATTGGTCTCCATCCTAGATGGAATATTTCACTGGGAACTCCTCAGAGCCAAGGCCATCCATATGAGGAATTCAGAGACATGAAAATCAATTTCACACCATGGAGAAGGAAATGAGAACAAAGAAGGAGCAGAGCAATGTGAGAATGAGCTGGGAGGCCCGGTTCAGTTCTCAGGCGGTGTTGGGTTCTGCAAAGGCTGGCTCACT